TAAAGTATACCGTTAGATTCAAAAAAGATTTTCGGAAGTTCTTTTAATATTTGAGCGGCCACGTCTTGAGAATGTGCTTTTAGGATAAGCGCATGCCGATAATCAAGCTAATAACTATGGAAGATAGAGCAAGAAAGATTCGCTCGCTGTTAGCTCAGACATTAAGATTAAGGCAACTAAACCCCTCTATTTGTGAGGCTTAACTGCTCAAATCAGAAACCGCACTAAATTTCATTTCATGTCACGCAGGTCAATACAATATTCGTCGAGGTTTGGTTCTGCAGCCTCGCTTGATTGATACCATATGGGTAGCTTGTTAAACCAATTTTAGGTAACATACTTAATTTAGCCAGTTGCTGGATTAGGATGGGAAAGAGAGCGCGAGCAGAGCTCGATGAATGCGCAGGGAAGCGAGTGAAGGTGGTGTGTGTGCATACTCCTCCCCCGACACAGCTGTTCGCTGGATTAAGAGGATATGGCGTGTGCAATCAGTAGTGGAAGGTCCCTGAGGGTACAGCGTGAAAACTCTCAGTGGGTAACCACTGTAGTGGAACCGGTGGAGTTCCACACCGTCGGAACAATTCCATTAGCAAGGCTAGTTGACAAATCGCTGGATAAGGATAATGAATAGAGCGCAAGTAGGGCTTGAACTACGCGGAGGGAAGCGCGTGTGAACACTGATAAATGAAGTAACCGAGGCTGGCGTATAAGCACCCCTTCTCTCCGGTGGCACAATTAGTCACTGGAATATAATTGTAAGGAAAATTCAAACACGTGATAGTTGCAAAGTCAACGTGTTCGCATCTACAGAATTTTCTTAGAGCGCTAACTATGTGATATCACTCAAGTGGGGTTGCAGGACCAAAACTCGCCCGATACTCTCTTGGCATAACTGCAAGAAAAGCCTGTTCGTTTTGTTTTAGCCAAAACACCTCTGAAGTTTTTAGCTTTGTCAAGGACAGTCGCAGCGGGTGATAAGGCCAACTACTGTCAAATACAAAGGGAGTTGAGACTGTTAACCCTGTCCTTCTTATCGAAATACATTAGTCATAGTTTATTTAATCGGAGGGAGGGTCTAGTAGTTGGATATACGCCAACTGTCCCGATAGAAATGGACAAGCTAATTGCGGAAACCAATTCAGTAAAGGGAGGTGTGATCACTGGAGCGATAAATTTACTGACGTGGTGTTTCATAATCCCACCCTAATCCACCATTAGAAAGTCGCAGATAATGATAGTGGAGGCCCAGGAAATGCGATATTGATAGTACGTAGCTGTCGTGAGGCTTCATGGGTACTATCTTCAACAACTCTCGTGACCACCGCCGCGGTGTCGCAATTGATGCGATAATGGCTCGTCACTCCGCGTCCGAGTAGTGAGTGGCCACGATTTAATCATCCGCGTTGGATGTTGGCGTAATAAATATACGGCTATCTGGTTCGCTAACACCGGAACCATTGCTAACCCTCAACCTCCCACGTGACCGATTGCCCTGCCCAGGGAATATCTCATAACCGCATATCGTGACGGGAGTTCATTGTGCTTGTTGGTGGATTGCTGACCTGAGAACCATGGCTCGAGCAGCTCGCAGCTCACGCGGTTGTCACCTCTAGCGATAATTTCGGCCTTTTTGAGCTTGAAAATACCTCCGGATCTCGTGGAATGAGCCGCCACCTGAGAGCTGGCGTCTTTCCTCCTCACCGCTGTTGCTCACTCGGTTGTTCGTATCCGGACTGATCTCCAAGTTTCTCCGAGGAAGTTGTACCGTCTACAACTGCGACAGACACGATAAACGACTGCAGACGTTTCCTGCCGTGGCAGCGGGTCTTTTAGCCTCAAGTCTTGGCGCTTTATGTCTGCGTCCTGCCTGTGCGAAAACCCAACTATAAGCGGAGTGAGAAGGTGTCTGGCGGCTTTTGAGACGTTCTTCCAGTACGGAAGAGTCCGCCAAAACTTAGGGCCATTTGGATTTGGTTCCTGGGGTCGTTTGTGTTTTCATTTGTTCTCATTAGTTCCGTATAAAAGTTGCGACTCAAGTTGTATACGGTTTGAGTCAAAGTGGTCGAATGAGAACCTCAGCCGTGTTTATATTTCACACAGTCTTTTACCGTGATTTGGATGTGTGGAACGCACTCAACTCCTTCAATTTTCACATTCAGTATCATGTTTATCCTTACTGCTGTAGCCCGCTGAATCAGTTGCCTCGAATACTACTATAATATTCTCCTCAAATTATTGGGTCATCGAAATTTCTCACACAAAGGTGCGCGTGGTACCTTGGACGCAGCTGTTTTTTTGCCCAAACTTGCCCTACCAGAGAAAGACAAGAATTTCGCATTTGGTTGATTACTTCTCTGCTTTTAATGCTGCTCTGCGACAATGCCGCTTTAAGATAATATCTGAATGTGGCTGTTCTGACTGGACTATTTCCTTTATCGCAGCTTACCTGACCTTTCATGCTCAGTTTGGCGAGTTTGACGGTCGGAAGTCTTCTCTCTATCTTATTGATTGTGTGGTGCTTCAATGTGTTATTTTTCGCCTCATCGATCTGTGCTTCACACTGACGACCAGTGATCGCCTATCGACTGTTAATATGTTAATCATACTGAGAAGTTGGTTGTTGGTGACCCCATTAGAGACGATTTTCATTTGCAGTTTCCGGAAGAATGCTTTGATCTCTGGAAAATGGCCTTTTGACTATCAGCCCCAGCGCTGATTACGAGAACTGTTAATTGCAGTGCGCATGCGGTCCCACGGCAGCCACGTGTTATAAATACTGCACTCCTGGTGCCACAATCACCTTTATCTGCTAATGTCTCTGATGATGGATTCGAGTAAGGATCCGAAACGTCAGGCAAATAAATTTCTTGTTCCGGTGATCGCTTCTTCATCTTCTATCATACAAGTGCCATTCAAACGTGCGTTTCTGTTACGACCATCTACCGTTCTTTAATCTTTTGGCATTCTTCCCATTGAAGTATCCTCCTCCTGTGGACTGATTGTTGCTCCACCTCAAATCTCTTATTCTCCCATCATGTTGAAGTCTTTTTTAGTTGACATCGTAGGCTCATTTATTGTAGTTTACGCTTACGTTCCTACCACGCCTCTAAGCTCCCAACCTGACCGTTAACAGATGCCTGTTCGGTTCCATTTGAGACGCGTGATTCGCAAGTTCTCCTACGCTGCCAGGGTTTCTGTGTTTAGTTTCTCAATAGCATAGAGCAGCGACACTTTATTATGGTTAAAGCACTTTCTGATAAGTTTCTGGACAATTCTGTCATCCACTTCACGATGAATAAATTATTTGAACAGGACAAAGGCGACAAAGCATGCAGAGTTTACTGAAGTCATAAATTTCGAGACCTCTCATTCAGCTGCACACGGTCATTGCATAGTTATATGACAAGGCAAACTGTTCAATCAACGATCGACCTAGAGAGATAAAACGTGATAGGTAATCTGAAACATGGGTCTAGTATGCGGGTGCATATGGCGAGGGAGGAGGGGGAGAGAAGTCATCCAAGTATGAGAGTTAGGACTACAGTGAGAACTTGTGCGGCGTGATTTAGAGTGCAACGTGCGGGGAGCATTCGGTCATGCCGGGGAGAGGGCAGCGAGTGGGGGCGAAAAGAGAGGGCGTACATGGGAACAGGGTTTCGTCCATAATCGATCCTTACCATGACAGTGCCAGGTTTATCATATGGTTTAGCTGCTTACAGAGTTCTGCAAAGCGCAAGAGAAGCCCGGTCGTTGCCCGAAACAGGACCTTGAATGCAACCACTGGGTCCACCGTATGGCCCGTGTCCACTAGGTGCTTTGTGATTGAGCTCCTGGGTAGCTTATCTTCCGCCTTAAGCAGCCACTTCGGCATGTATTCAGCTGACCGAGCTGCCAACTGCCTTTGCGTGCGCCCAATGTACTTGCATCCGCAACTACATGTAAACTCATAAATACAGTTTGATGTGGCGTGCATGGGCAAAGTGTCTTTAGCTGGTCTAACTGGGATGGCGGTTGTGGTGCTTATGAACAACAATTTAGAGGCGGCATACGTCCTTTCGATAGTGCACCGAAGTCGTCGCTTGATCACGTTTGGCGCGTTATCACTCTTGAAGGGGAGGTAGATGGTCACGGACTTTTTAGGTACAAATATTTCTTCGTGAGTTTCCTGTCTGGGATGGCGATGGTTTTGGATGAATTTCTCCGGATACCCGTTTGCAAGAAAAACGTTCTTTAGGAAATTATTGCTTAGTCTGTTCACCTCACGCGCCTTTGCCTCCGTCACGTCTCTCGCCATTCTTCGACATATAACTTGTTGGTAATATCGTTTACCACGACGCCTAACACGCAAAAAGACAAAAAAATTCCTCAAAATAATCATGAAGTGTTACGCAAGCAGAACTATTCAGATCCCCTCTATTAATTTGCTTCCCGACCACAATTCATGGAGAACGCGGTCGTGGGGAAACTCAGGGTGATAGTTTTATAGCAAAACCTATTCCCTCAGTCTATGTTTCTGCCCCTATGTTTAAAACATGTTCAAACACCAGAAATTTTTTCCATCAATCACCATCGCCCGCTGGCTACTGTCTACATTGCGGTGCACCGCAGTAACGTACAGGCTTGGTGATGAGAAATCAAACGCGCGCACGTGCTATAACTAGAAAACAATCCACGCAAAAGTCACTGCCCCCCCCCGCCTAACCTGTTTTTGGGGCACATGGCGGTCGTCGTCAGTAACGACTGCGGAACTGGCACCCAGAGTAAATCAAACGCCGAAATGGTATTTACCAGAAGGTACTTGGTCAGGTATTACGGCAGCAAAAGTAGGTACAACATTCGTAGGAACGCAGCGTGTCCATTGTTTTTATTAACAGTCAGGTGCGTTGAAATCAGTGAGCAGAGAGTTCAAATTAAGGGTAATACACGGTAACTCCCTAGGCCTTCCCTGGTTCAACAAAAAGGCCCGGTATATTGAATTTCCGCAAACCGGTGTCCTTTTTTCATTCGTCAGGCTCAGTTGCCTGCTGTGCATCAAAGTACACAGCACTGGGGTTCAGAGGAAATTCAGTCTTAAAGACTCGCCGCCAGTAGTCCCCATCCTCAGCTCCGTGGGCCACAGTTTGTGCAACGGCACTGGGATGCTGCCGTACCCGGCGGTAGGCCCAGTTGTCTGCACCTCTCTGTCCGACATAAGTATCCATGTAGAGGCTTTTGGGGGGCTTCAATTCCTTCCCGCTCTCACCACCGTTGAGAATGCGCAACCGAGTTATAGTGGACTCCAAATTTGCTGCACCCGACTCTCTTCGACGCAGAATCGGCAGCTTCACATATTCCGAGTTGTAACTTGTGGCGGTGGCCATGGGCTCTTTCCTGGCGGCATCTTCGGCAACGTAGACAGCAGGCTTGGGTCTCCAGGAGTCACCCGAACGTTCCATTGTCTCAGTCAGGGCAGGCAGAGTAAACCAGGTGTGGTAGTTGCTTTGGTACTCCGACAGATCACTTGTAGAACCCACGAGTTGAGACTTTGGACGAATTTCTGCCGGACAGCTGCCTCCATCTGCTGCAGTACTGGACGTCCTACCACCACCGGGTAGAAAGTCGCTCCTATAGATGGAGGTCTCAGGAGGGAATCGATTTTCGGGATTGCAATGTGTGAAGGCCTCCCAGCCTTTGCCGTCGCTTTGGTGGGTGATGGGTTTCGCTCGAAATCTAGGGCCTTTCCAATGCAAGAATAGACAATTAATGGGCAGGAAAAACTGGCAAAATTTTTTTGTCCTCAGGATGGTTTCCTGAAGAAGCAGATGTTTACCGTCTATTCTCCTTGTTATTTACTGACTACACCGCCGAACTATGAAGCCGATGTCGAAGATGCTAGCCATGGAGGAAGAGTCGGACTTCAGCATAAATTATGCACACCTCTTGGCATAAGTGACTTTACACGTCACAAAGGATTAGGAAAATTCTCTTCTGCGAGAGGGCTCCATGCGACAAAGGACCCTGAATGACTATTGCATTAAATTTTCATAAGGAGTTCTGTGAGAGTTCGGCGCCGCTGTCAGTCCATTTCTCGTAAACAGAGCGTGGTGTTGAGTCCTGCAAAGTAAACTAACTGACTTCCGACCGCCAATTCTAACGTTTTATGATAAGGAGAGCAAGTATATTTACTAAAATCATGCCGCCTTATTATAAGTAGCTTTCTTGCAGAAGGATACCAAAGCAAATATCGGATTTCTGCAGATCTTTTCAACTTCAATGCTAATTAGCTGAAGAACCACAACAAATAGAACCATTGCTTTGCTTTATTTCCGAGGAACTTAATGCGCGAACATGGAGTAAAGTCTTCAAAACAGACCTTTTCAGGCACGGCCCGAGGGTTAATAGAAATATTTGAGTTGAAATCAGTCAGCTGCTGCAGAATAACCGCGTAAGACTCAAAAACAGCCAACAGGTAGCCAGTAACATACAGTTGTGTAATTATTTGCCAAACTGACAAACAGAAAGTAGTTAAAAGCCCAGCCAGGCGTGTTTCGCCAATCTTATGTCGCTGCCTGACGCAACGGCGAGGGGTTCGGCTCATCATCGCGTCCCCCAACCTTCTCCGCGTGGTTTCTGTTACTAGAGTTAATATACCAGAAAACACTGGAGACTGGAAAATCCACAGCTGAGCTGAATCCCTGGCAGCTGCATCAGGCGGCGCACAAGATTGGCGAAACAGGATTGACTGGGCCTTTAGCTAGTATTTGCGTCGTAGGCATGATAGACAATTACACAGGTAGAATCATTGTCCTTCTATACTTTTTATTTCGCAAAAGGCACTGATGGAAAGGCCATGATGCTGTTTTGCATATTCACATGACGAAGTTGGATTGTACCCAATAGCACAGTCTTATTCTGTGTTATGCAAAGTAATAGGTCACATCCTGTAAAGCGGTAGAATTATCCTATCTCAATTTACTAGTCGTGGAAAATTAATTTATATTTTTGGTCAGTCGCCTCAATCTCTGAAAGGTACTGTGTGCAGGCCTGTTTTAGTTTGTGGCAAACATCTGTAACGTTCGAATCCCGTTGCGGACTAAGTTTAACCGAATGCTGCAGCAACAATGGTCGTGTCTCATGTTTCGATGTTTTGATTGCATTCATTCACTGTTCAAACTATTTTAATCTGTTAAATGCATAAAAAGTAGGCTATAGCGAGCTGGGAGAATGGCCGTCTTGCACGTTTGCAAATAAGCAATGACTTTACCTTTTCCGAATTTCTTTTGCGGTAGTAAATGATTGACAATACCGATAAAAATTCGATGAATTTGGATAAAATGTAGGGGCTGCAATTGGTGATTGTTTTCCGGAGGTATCCTCAAGCATATATGCCTTACTCAAAGTAAAATTTTATCATCTCCGTGGTCCATTTCAAAATATTTATGCCACAATGGGATTTTTCGGAAGTTTTAAAGCTGGTTATCGTTTTAGAAAGTCAGTGTTTTAGTAAGAGCGAAGTTGCCTCAATTTGTTCAAACACAGTATGATAAAGAGTTGTGAAAATACGATAGGAGAAATTTCAGCACAATCTTCAAATATTTTTGAAGAACGCATTGTGACAGCATAGCAAGGAGTCGGGCGCAGACAATTTTATTCAACCCACAAAAAGCGACTGCCCACCCTTCCGTCTCCAACAACCTCGTCAATGTAAGAGTGCCAAAACTTTTGACAGAACCTTGCCCTTGACTTTCACTTGATCATCATATTTACGTTCTAAGAATACAACTGAGACGAGGATGATACTTTATAAAACGATACCCAAAACGCTGATGGTAATTATCAGCGTTTATCACGTCCTTTTTGGACACATTTTCGTGTTCAATAGATGTTTGCGGAGATCCTCCGACGTACAGATTTCATCATTCCAAGAACTGTTTTATTTAGACATGTCGCGCTTTCCGATTTCCCTATCTCCAGTTTATTATTCGCACTAAGTTTGTTTCCTTCTTCTAGTAGTTGTACACGTTCGCGAGCTCTGACATTAGTTTTCCGTACGTCTGGTTATTGGTGGGCAACCATGAGTCAGGTGAATGTAAGTGATCACGGTCTGCACACAGACATCCGCCGGATGTGGGGATTTGTGCGGCAGCCCGCTGGCGCGATCGCCAGCGCCGCCGATCACTCCTGTCTTCTTCAGTCCATCTATCACCCACTGTCAATCATTCGCATGAGTCGCACGTAATTTACTCTTGTCGTTTTGGAAGTTTGACCCCAGTCGACTCACTGACTGGTAGCAGGCGGACAAAGTTCAGAAGCAGGCATGCGCCCCGCGCCGGTACGAACAAACTCAATGAGTACCATCCGGCCGAAGGGAACGTTTGGTGCACCTTCCAGCTGGTACGCATGCATGCTCTTTCCCCTCAGTAAAACTTTACTAATAACACTATCTTCCTTTATTTGTGATCTCGGTAATCTCGAACTTTAGACCCTCCAACGTGCCTTTGTAAAACGGTAATGAACCGGACGGCTCCAAGACAGATGAACGACAAAATTGTTGTGGTGTTTACTGAAATTTATTTTGGGACGCTAATTAAAATTAATTAGCTAATCAGTTCAAATGTTGTTAAACGGCACTACAGCGGCTACTGCAGTTAGACCAACCAAGGACATTCTGCCTATAACGTCACATCAAACTGTTTTATGATTTAAATGCATCTGCGTGTGCGGATACATTGGTAGCACGCAAAAGGCAGTTGAAGATCGGTCAAATAAACACGTCCGAATTAACTGTTAAAGGCGGTAAATTAGGTGCCCAAGACTTCAGTTATGAAGCACCTAATGGGAAAAGGCCATGTGTTGGACCCAGTCAATGCACTTTGCAGAGGCCGCTGTGTTATGAAGGCGAAGACAAGAACCCCGTACGCGGGTGGATCACGTGATCAGCCTCTCACGGCCATAGTGGGGATTTATATTGGACGTAACCCCAATGGCATATCCGTCCTCTTCCTCCACCTGCATGACTGACCGCTGACCCGGGCGTCGAAGTTTTAATCACGTCTGGCAGGTTTTCACTGTAATCTGAACTCGCTTGCTTAGATAACTTCCCTCCCCCTTCTCCCGCGCCATGCGCTCCCGCGTATCAGACCAACCGTCGGTCGGATGCGGTTATGTATCCCCAACTCAAGTAAACAAACCCCAGTCACATCTAATACGGGACCGGCGGCAATAGGGGTTTTTGCAGGTGGGGCCGGGGAACGCACAGGCAGCGAGGTGAAGTAGCTGTATGTGCGATTGTACTCTGAATGGCTAAAAAATAGTTGTCCTAACGCCTAACCCTAACCTCTAACTATAACCCCTAATTCAACCCCTGCCCCTTAACCCTGGCTTTTAACCCTAACCTCTTTCCATAACTCCTAGCCATAACCCCGAGCCATGACCCCTGACCATAACCCAAACCCTTAGCTCCAAACCCATCAGTATTGTGCCCATGAGGTGGGGCAACCAAACCACATCTTACACAACCGTCTATGTTTTATGTACCTATCACGTGTTATCTCTCTAAGTCGATCTCTGGCTGAAAAAGTTTATCTTATCTCATAAATACGCAATAGCCGTACACCAATGGAGAACTGATCAGTAAATTTTGTCCTGCATGTTTTGTTGATTTTGCCTTGATTAAAATGATATAATCACCAGAAAAACTGCAGCAGACAGGAAGGCCAACACTTGCGATGTTGTTCTGAGACCTATGCCATGATGCCTGACTGCTAAAGGGATCCACCCTCACATCTGTCAACACATCATCTGAAGTGTTTATTTTTGGCACGATTCGGCCCTGCGCCTAAAAGCATAAGTCTCAGCTGCTAACGCACATTCATTGTTAATGAGTGACCTATTTTAGGTGCCCTGCGTTGCAACAGGAGGCCATCACATATAACTTTCCTATGCAGTATTGCCCTGAACGCCTCCCATCGAGAAAAAGTCTGTTAGCTAGAGGAGTCCTCACTTGCCCAGAAAAGAAACAACCCACACGTCGTTATGAGGCGAATCAAGGAGAGCAATAACGCATCACAAATCTGGTGAAAACAAAGCAAGTTTTTTGACGCGTAGAAAATTGTCCGCGTAGCCTACCGTGTACGTGTGGGCCGAAAGGTCTTTCCGAGATGGAGACAACGGTAGTTTCCATGTTCCAACCCGCTTCTGTCTTTGCCGAAGAACCCAATGCAGAACCTGTGATTGCTCCGGATAAAAACCACTTATCCGGAGGTTTATTTGATGATGTAAACGTGTCCTAATTAATCGCCTAAACTAGGCGCCTCCATCTCGAATATTCTATAAAAACATACGCATACTGTAAGCGTCCAGGTACCTGACGGCATTTCGTTTGCTTAGCTACTTATTTGTCATTTCATCGCATACGTTCACTGGTCTGGGTGCTATTTACTGATCATTAACTGTTTAGCAAATCGAACAAATTTCGTTCGAGAAAAAATATACGTACTAGAATGCCAAACAATCTTCACGGGGATTTTTAGAGAGATGGCGTACAAATTATTTCGATGTGAAACGCTGTCAATGGCGAGAGATTTAGAAAGTGGCTACGAGGAAACTGAAGGTTAACTTTCTTCACGTTAAAAAGCACGCAGCTGTTTTTTTGCATGGTTACTTCGATACACGAGCACGGAAAAGGGCGCAAAATAGCTGGTCTCCATGGCATCAGCAAACAACCACAAACCCGAAGAAATGGTATTCCACGGGTAAGCATTTGTCCTCTAAAAAACTACCGTTTAAGGTGAAACTAATCTTCCTCTTATTAAATTTTGCGTGTATTTACGGGGCAGTATTTGGTCTGCAAGGCTGAAGTAAACGTATTGAATCCCATACTTTACTTTTATTTTATTGTCTTCTGTATTCTCATCAGGCGGCTTTGTACAGACTTCGAATAACGCGCGAATGATAGTCAATAGCTCGAGCACCTATTTCGTATATTAATTTTGACAAGTGAGTCCAAGGGCCAATTCGGATTTCCATGCACATGTTGAGTAAGTGTAGCATTAAAGGGCGTTCCTCAAACATAAATTAATGGTAACTGTAGATTTATTGAAAAGTGAAATTAGAAAGTCATAAGTGGGACCTGGTCTGTCAGTAGAAGTAAAGGAACTAGTTCTCGTTGTGCTAGTATTCTGGAGACAACTTTTGGTCACACATCAACCCACGGCCCTCAATGCACAACTGCACTGAGTTAAAAATGTAATGAGTGTAAAATATGACACTTTAGTTTTCCTACATGCTGCCCTGACATTCGGCAACATTAAATAACTGCACTGAAGGGGTCTAAAATATTGATATTAGCCAGACAACGTATAGACAAATAGACTTCAGTAGAAACAGATGGTGCAACTGCCTCGAACCTGTGAATGACCACACAGTGCGGCAAACAAACAAAAAGAACCACAGCACACATTGTTGCTTGTCGCCCTCAAACTAAGCAAATATTCCAACTGTGGACATAACAATTAAAACGGGTTTAAGTAGACAGTTTAAGCCGCAGTTCAGTAAACTCTCACAAAATGCAAATCAGGTCTTTTAATGCGATCTGTGAGGATACACTACTACGAGGGCTTATATGCAAGGAATCAGTAACTTGTAATATAACTCTGAACAAGCGTGGTTCTGGAATTCAGCATCGTCATATAATTTTGATGTCCTATGGAGCCTACTGATTCTAATATAAGGAGATTAAAAGGGTGTCGTTTAAAAATAACTTTCTGAAAATGACTCTCCTTTGCCACGTGAGCGTACAACCAGTGAGGTTTTTTATTTTCGAAAATATCCTCGGCGTATTTTTTTGCAACAACTACAATTGTTTGCTAGAAGAGTTTACAAAACCACTTCTTATAAATACTTCGTAGGATAAATTTACAAACAAACTGAAGTCATTATGAAGGCCTATCTAAATGCTTATAGCAAATTACGCCAGTTCTATAAATCGAGACATGTGATCGGATCAAAAAATCGAAATCAAAAACTTGAGAGCACATACGTAACGATTTCGTCAACTTTTAAGTTTATGAATTCCTTCTCAATAATATCTGAGCTTTAATGACGGTATAAGATGACGGTAATAGGGAATTAAATTTTGAGAAGTTAAACGTATTGAGACCTATCAAAGTGTTAGCTGTTATGAAGAGACAATTCCTTCCCGAAGAGAAATGTAATCTGACTGGTTAAGTCCTTACACATAATTAAGAATAAGTGGAATTGGTCAGTGTTGTGTTTTCTGATTTCGTTGAAGAAATTTTTATTTTAAATGTAAGCTTTTAAACCACTTGGTCCGTGAGTGCATACAGTAGATGCGCTCACATAAAATTCTAACTGAATTATGAAATATGTTTTCGATTTGAAATAAATACCTAGGTAGGTCTGTAATACCAATTATCTTGCAGCAGAATTCTAAAATATTTACAGTGCGTGACCTATCTCATGAAATGTTAGCTGAAATTCTGAAATGCGTTTTCGATTAGGAAGGATTACTTGGTCGCGGTTGTGATACTGATTAACTTAAGGCATACTCTTATAAAATGTTGGGCTCGGCAGGATGTCGGCTATAAAATGCGCTTCTTTTCAATCTCCCGTAAAAAGCATGCTTGGTAAAACATGACTACTTAAGTAGCATGCATTTTCCCATTGATTTTTGCTGGTCTTGGAAATTCAAATATATTTTATAGAAACCACAAACAAAAATGTGCTTTCTTTTAGTCAATCAATAGAGAATCACGTCTTCTTTATATTTTATACTTAAAGAAGTAGTATAATTAGGTTTAAAAAAAGTTTTCTAATTGACGAAACATTTGGAGCCTGATCATTCGTTGCATTAACGATCAGTGATTACACTCTAAAAGGTGCATGCGTTCCGCGTAAAGAAAATTTTATATTTTTCTATGTCATTAAAGAGATATTATACAGAGTCCATAAAATTTTGCAATGGATGCGGATCATGTTGTGTATTTCATGAGGAGCAGTGGTAAACGGCCAGGTACGATGCTATGCGAATGGACATTTCGCGGTCTTAAAAAGTCTTATAATAAGAAACTTTTTTAAAACCTAACTATTAACCTTCCTTAAGTATAAAATATAAAGGAGACGTGATTCTCTATTGATTGACTAAAAGAAAGCACATTTTTGTTTGTGGTTTTATATAAAATATATTTGAATTTGCAAGACCATCGAAAATCAATGGGAAAATGCATGCTACTTAAGTAGTCATGTTTTACCGAGCACGCTTTCTACAGGAGATTGAAAAGAAGTGCATTTAAAAGCCGACATCCTGCCGAGTCAAAATTTTATCAAAGTATGCCTTATGATAATCAGTATCACAACCGCGACCAAGTAATCCTTCCTAATCGAAAACGTTTTCAGAATTTCAGCCAACATTTCATGAGATAGGTCACGCACTGTAAGTCTCGCTAACATACTTGTTTCTGAATGGCCTTTTCGGTCGTCTGGAAAGAACAGCACTCTGTAAAAATACTTCCTTAAATAATATTTATTTTTCGAAGTGCATAAAAGATTCCTTCTTGTACTCAATTGATAGCAAACCATGTCCTCTTCAAAGTTTCTATACATTTTAAGTAATCTTTTTGAATCGTTAACATATTTCGGATTTTCAATTGAAATATCGCGAGACATCTCACCTACTGTAAGTGTTTGCTGTGTTCACTTATCTCGTTCCCAGAAAATATGACAGGCAGACATTAACACAGCATTCTCCCATCTTGAATGTTTTAAATCCTTATGACAGGGATGGAAATTAAGGTTTTGCAATGTAAAAACAATGTAAAAGTGTTATACACCTATATCTTACAAATGCGCTTTGAGGACTAATTAGCATGCGTCGTGCCTTATCAACTTGGCAAAACAAAATGTACCCCATTTATCTTCTCTTCAGCAGAGGCAGTTGCAATATAGAGTTACTTGCCTGTCTTTAGCCTGTCTGTTGTTGGCACATTTTTAATGAGATACCTGGGACAACGTAAAAATAAATTTGAGATGTGAATATTCTTTGGCGAAAAAAGTGTGTAAACAAGTACGTTGGGTAAAATGAAATAATCAGACAACATTCAGACAATATGTATTTTCAAAAGGTCTCACATTTGTTTCTAAACAAGACCTGCGAATTTGAATTCGACGCTTCAAACCGTAAATTGATTAACTCCGTAGCTTCAGTCACTTTTGACCAATGGAGAAGTTCAGATCGGAAATGTTAAATTTGAAAATTGCCCTTGCTCCTGGCCTATCAGTTCAGACCGTGGAGAGGCAATCAGAGGTAAACGGTCCAACGTCCCTTTAGGAGCCGTCAAGAAAGCAAACACGGTGGAGGATAAATCAACTAAATGTAATTACCGACAGATACAAGGGAGACTGGAGTGCTCATTTCTGGTTCATTAGCCTTTGTCAGCCAGTCATACCCAACCCCGAATTGTGGAACACCTGAGGCTCGATCTCGCAACTTGTTAGTTAGAAGCACAACGCCTCCAACCACTGTTGCTAACATTCTGCCTTTATCATGCGCCGCTGTGTGGCTGCTGTTTGGGCTCGAAAGAGAGCCCATAAGGCACGACAGAACGAATGGGTTCCGTAAAAACGATCGGTGGGTGCCCCTCCACCATTGTATATTCCCGATCTAAACCGACAGGAAAACGAGCCTGTGGCTCAATGGTTAGAGGCGTTGAACTTCTAACTAACACGTCGCGAGTTCGAGTTCCAGTTGTTCTACACCTCGGGATAGGGTGCGACTGGCTGCCGACAGCTAACAAGCTAGAAATGGCCATTCCAATCCCCCTTGTCTTTGTCAGTAATAACCTTCAGACAATAAATCACCCGTCATTATATCTTCATCTTCATGCCAAAAGAAGCGCTTCCCGAAAAATATGCTTGCTTAGGTACCCATCCTTGTCAATCCATGTATGATAACTGTAGGCAGGATAGCATTTCCAGCAAAGACAAAGTAGACTGGAATGGCCATTTCTGACTCATTAGTCGTCATCAGGCAGTCATATCTAAGCTTGAGGTATGAACGCCTGGTGCTCAATCCCGCGACCTGAAGCTTGGAAGTCCAACGCCTTAGATTACTTAGCCACGAGCGCAGTGATTGTATAAATGCAATCCCTCCATTAAACTTACTTATTTTGCGCATCCATTGTCTGGTATTCGAATAATAGTATAAAAATCGTTGCCTGTCGATGCTTTTTTAAACGTGCCATACGCACGTTAGCAGACGTACCATTTGTAACAGATATATCTTGGACTGTGGGTTTAAGGCTTTTTAGTTACTCTTATTTCTTTTCGTCGCAAAAAAAGCCATTCAAAAATGAACTGCATTTACTTGTTCAACTGAGCTCTGTGGTCGACAAGGACGAGATATTAACCAGAAGCTGCTCTGTAAATTTCTATACGACTGTAAAATAGAACATACTTGTTATCAAAGCTCCACCGTTTAAACGACTAACTGACTAGGTCATTTAGGCGAATAAGGGCGAAACCTACAGTTGCACGGTGACGTATCATTACTGTAAAGGCTTATGTTATATCTGCTAATAGTTTTCATGATATTCAATAGCTCTAGAACATTCTTTTTAATTGGCATTAGATTCCCGATTTGTACAGAGGACATCGGGTTAACAGATCACTGATGATACCGAGAATATGTGGGCCTGTCATTCTGAGGCAATAAAGCAGTTTACACGTTACTGTGTTGGTCTAGGTGCCATATATATAGGCAGGTAATTTCAAAGGAGTTTAAATACCGTTTGTCATGCGGTAAACGTCCGTGCTCATGTTAAGTGATTAAATGATTGTGATCCAAATCACAGGTTTAAAATACAGATTTTGGTTTCCTTTTTAACAATGTTCAGTTTTTTACGCCGGCCCTACGCGCTGGCCATAAGGCAGATATGAGATAATCATTCCAGATGTGAGTGTTTTTGTTATTTTTCGGTACATTTTCTGTAGAGCCCTGGGGAAGGATAAGCTGAAAATATGAATGTTACGCACCTAAAATAAAAACCAATATGATTTGCGATCAAAAAGACCCACTAGCAGTTAACTGAAATTCTGTTGAAACATGTCGGAAGAATTTGACACAAAATAAGTGCCGACATTCAAGCTCAGTGCTCAGAATGTTGATTGTCCGGAATAGTCAATCCCAAAATACTAAAAATGTAGTATCAAATTTTGAAATGTCATCACATTTTGTGCTCATAGATATGAAAATACCGGGTAGTATTAATTTAAGCCTCAAAAACTGATTTTTTCGGAATAAGAAGAGAGTTTTCTATGTTTTTTTACATCCGGACAGAAAATCATTCAATTCACTGACGACCGCCTTCTTAGGGGGCTTTAAAATGCCTCCAATAATTTAGACACCTTATAACCGCAAAAGGATTGTAGGTCACTTTTCCCCTACCCTTTTCTTCGCCCACACTCAGGTCAACCTGAGATTTATAGAAATGTCATTGAATGAAACAGTGTGCGTAAGATACAGTTGGTAACAAAGAGTACACATGTGAATACTTTTTTGCCATTAGGCCCTTTTCTTGTCACGCGTAATGGTATGAACAACTCGTTTTATAACATAACAAAAGGAGGCTCAGGTCGGATTTTGCAAAAATCTGCAATATGTTTGGAGGGTATTAAAAAGACCGTGGCCTGATAAATTATGGTTTTCAGATTAAATAATTTGAGCGCACACAGCAGTCGTCGTTGTCTGCTGTACACATCATGTTGTCCGTTCCTGCGAATACAGCAGACAGGGGCTGTGAAATGACAATAAGCGCGTCAGTTAGAAAGAGTGTGTTGATACGCAGCAATCACTTTGTACGAGGCGCTTGTCGCCACAACACCTGCCCTGCTGGTAGTCACTGTACCAATATGCAGAAGGAGATATCCCCGAGCACGACTGTCGGCGAGCAAGATAATGTAAAAACTTATGTTCGGGAGGACTTTCAATCGTTTCGGAGTAGCATTTCGTCCAGAGAAGTTTGTGCAACAAAATCACTGTGGAAGCGAATGTAGTTCAGGAAACTAATTTAAATTTTCGTTTAGCAAACACTGTGTGTCAAGGCGGTAGTTTAATTGCTTTATTTAGACGGCTGTAAACTGTTGGCCACTATTCGCGTTGTACGCTTCAAAAACAATGCAGTATGACTAAATGGCTTTACTAGGGACAAAATTTTTAACTCTGCGATAAAATGTCTGGGATTACAAGTAACCGAATGTGCCTTGTGCAAACAAGATATTTTTATGAGTTTAATGTTGAAGTCACCCATGATCATATGAATACTTAAAGCAATACAAAAACCGTAAATGTCATTTATTTTCAGCCAACGTACTCGCCAAACTGTCTGCAACGTATGGGATCCACAAATTCATATGCAGGAACCTAATTGACTGTGTGTAATTCCTCAAGCAACCAATCCAGGTTCCACTAGATAACTACCAGTCCAACTTTACAATGAGGTTTTGGTAGTAGAAGTATGAAGTGTTCATTCTATAGACATCAGGAGATTTTGTTTCGTTCGCTTGCAAATCCTGCTGGAATGGTCAGCTTACCGTTTAAAAATTGACGAATTCCATGCGTCGCAATTGCTCGTACTGATCGGTCGACCTAAATGAAATTAAACTCGCATCTCTTAGTCGAGGTGCATAGCGCAGGTGGTTTGGGCCTGGGCTTTGTTCAAGCATTGCCCTTGCTCATATCGGCTTGTATGTCACAAGGCCGCCGAATCACTTACAATTTGGTCACACGACTTAGTCAAATCTGTCAAAAACCTTGTGTATAATAGAGTCAGAATGCACGTAAATTGACCATTTTCCAAGAAGAGGCATCTTAAAAAATGTAAGTATGAATCAGCCCAACAAAGTAGGTGCTTTGCCACAATAAGTTTACTTTCACTCCAACAACCTTGTTCAGATTGCTTTCATGAACGAAAGCCAATATTTTTATACGGCAAAATGTAGTCAGTTAGTTTTCCATTTTCTTGACTGACAAATAGAAGATCACCTTCAAATTTAGCCCTGAATGCCTATAGTAATATCTTTCTTCAGTTTAAATCCGGTATCGGTGTTCATAACTTACAGTGATTTCTAAACTTAGAAACATTCCAAAACACATCATTTTTTTCGTAATAATAGGATTTTTTAATAAAGTTTTTTTCACGCACGTTTCGTCGAATTTATTGTGAGTGGGTAAAATTTAACGCGAGACAGAAAGGTGTGTATAAACATAATCTCTCTTTTAAAACTCTCAAAAATCCTGTTTGTCTTGATTAGAGTCTATCCAAGTGGGTTGCTTGCGTTTACTTTTGGGAAACGAAATAGTTTTTTAATTGCCAAAAGAAGCGAATAGACGTTTTCCAGGAAGAAATCGTAAGAAGGATGCACAATCTTTGGGACAAGGCTTGTATTCACCTGACGCTTCGGATTCCTGCGCAAATCCATCATCAAAAACAATAGGCGATACGGGTGGTTCATGAACAAGGGGATGCAGTATTTATAGAATGCAGTCACATGGAACTGCATGCCTATGGAAATTCACGGCTCACCCCCCCCCCCTTCATCAAGGACTGTTGCACTTGACTTTGATGACCCTTCTGTGGCCGATACTCGCGTCGTTAAGTGCTGCAATTTTATCACTGGTGTTGAGTGCTGGTGTGATTATTGCTCGACCATCTGACCCGCCGACCCTGGCATTAGGAACAGTGTTCGCCTTTGCGCTCCCCGCATGGATAATCACTCTGCCTTGTCGAAGTCCCAGCACAAAGTATTAAATGGGAGGGTCGTTGCATTTGTTAATAGACTAGGGGCCAGTAAACCATGGCTGAAGCAGCTCGCGGCTCACGCGGTTGCCACTTCTAGCGAGGGTTTCTGTCTCGTCAAATTCGTGCGTTTGGCCGGATCTTGTCGCATGAGTCGCGACTTGGGAGCTGCTGCCTCGTGTCCGCCCATTCGCTTTCTGAGCAGTCTTCCAGTCTCTCCGGTGTAGTTGCTTTGTCCACAACTGCAACAGATCCGATGAACGACTCCAGACGTTCCCGACCATGGCAATAGATCTTTCCGTCTCATTACCTGAAGCTTGATGGTTACCTCCGGCCCGTGTGCAACTCCAACCCCATGTAGTGCGGAAAGGCGATCGACAGCGTCCAAAAAGTTCTTTACATTCGGAAGCGTTCGCCAAAATTTGGGGTCCGTGTGGTCTGGCCTTTCGTTCCTTTTGCGCATGCACCGGTTGCGCAGGTGGCTTTACAGGCCCGTCGAAACATCAGGCGAATAAACTCCTGTCTCAGCGATCATGTCTGCTTCTTCATTATTTTCTAGTTGTTAATTTCCAACCTACAAATTCTTGTATATTTTTCTTGGCTTGAGGCGATTTCCCACTCATAACTCTATTTTTACCCAAGAACTTAGAATAAAACTTTAATGTCTTTAATATTTGTGCAAACATGAGTGTTCAGATCAACTCGCTGAAATACAGAATAAAATGTATGCCAGTCCTTGGTTTGTTGGATATATTTTTTGCGATTTACTCGTTTCGCTAACATATTCCTAAAAAAGCCTGTAGAATACGGCAGATTCCGACAAAATTCCCAGATACTACCTACTGATGCCATTATAAGGAAGCTCAGAAATCCCACCGATCAAGGACAACAGTTATCATAATAAAAAAACTGTAAATCTAGCCAAAGTTTTAGCCGATATCTGTATTTGCACTTTCTCCTTCATGGTCAGGGTGTCACGCCAGATGTAACACAAGAAACATCGGTTAAGTATGGCATCAACATCCTTTCGGAATTCGAATCATTTGAGCAAACCGTAGTGGGATTTTTCATTTACCAGAGTACTGTCGGCTTTTCATCCTGACAGGCATTGCTGAGAGCAGTACTACATGTGGACACCATGCAAAATTTTCATAGCCTTTTATAATCCGCACATTCGCATTTTCGTTGCATGGCCTATATGCATACTTAGGCGTCTTATCTGCAGTCTCCTGCCTTTGCACTCCCTTAGGAATTACCATAATAACAAAACTTGTAAAAAAATGAAGAGACATACTATTCAAAGGCGTTTTGAATTCGTTTCTGTAAGTCGTGCCCGTTTTCAAGGGTTCGCCGGGGAAAGCAAAGGACCACTCATCACTGCGTCTCATTGGTCGTTTGCGTCCCAACTTATCCAGGTTCCGTCCGAAATCACTGCCAGTTGTCTGCCAGGCCGATGCTGCGTCATTCATTTTATCCTCGAAGAGGACTGTTGCGTTCCTAATCCGCTCTTTATTTACAGCTGCTTGTTTTGAAGCCTTTACTTCATGCGCCGGAAATCTTAATTTTCAAAACAACAAAACAAACATGCCTTGGTAACTTTTTGGGCTTGTTTCATCTAATATATTCCAAAAAATTAGAAACTTTGCAGGACGAAGAAGCAGTAACCAATTTGGGTAGTTTTTTTGTGTATTTTAAGCTGCAATTAATAATTATTGCGTCTCGATCTATTCCAGTAGAAGCTCGGTAGAAATGATCAGGGTCACTTTTGGTGCAGGTTTGGGGATCGATGTTGGAAAAGGTGTGCAAGCATTTTAAGTCGCCTGAATATAAGCTTTCCTGTCGCTCCTGACCAAACTAAAGGAAACCATAAAGTCGATACTGCTAAGACGTTTGATTAAGAGAATAACTGCTAAATTTGGTCAAGACTCTTTCCCTTTAACGCCATCGTGTTGGTAGACGACCTACCACAGTTTTACGGCCGTCACCCTGCCCCAGCAAAAACTAAATCAACTTATGTTCTTTGCCATTTTTTAAAATTACTCTCAGTCTGCGCAACCTGGTATTCATTCAAAATTTAGTAGTGAAGATTGGAAAATGACCTGCTTCTTAGAATTCCTCTCCGTTTATTTCTGGAGTTGGGTTTTTCAACCTCCCTCTTAAACAGCAACATAAATGGATTGAGAGTACTAAGTCCACGCAACCTCGTCTTTTGACCTCAGTTATAAAGTTTCTACGAAATCTGCCGATGGGCTTTCATTTTCCTCGCCCGCGGTGTGCTCATCTAAACTGGACGTAATGAACCGACAGTGTCATCTTTCACGAACCACTAATTCCAAAGAATTTACAAAAGGCAACTTGGAGGATGTTTTTCGCTAATGTTCGTGGGAGTCCGCACAAATTACGAATGAAGAAGAATCACTGCTTCAGTATAAAGACTTTTTTAAATGGGCATTTCACGCAATCGGGCTTTTCAGACAAACCCTACAAAGGCATCTCCTCATACATTTTGTCAAAATATAAACTCCCTTACGTTTTTCGCCCTGAAAGTGGTATTTCGAGAAAAATTAATGTCAAAAAAATGTGGTCATTTTACGTGTTGTCACGCGCAGGATTATGCTAGCTCGAAAGTGAAAGATGTAGACAACACAGGTTTTGGGTAGTCATACGTAATGGGAAAACTCTGTTCGAGCCATATGTAGGGGACGATATTTGCGCATTCCGACTTTTTAAACTGTGTGCTTTAGTAGACCTTTTTAGAACAAAATTCTCCGTTCCCTGATTCATATCACTTTGTGTAACATGTAGCAATCTGCACAATACACGCAAAAAGTAATGTTTTCGGATAGTTATCACGCAAATGAATTGCTCAGTACGTGTAAAATACCCAGGCAACTGTACAAGTACGGCTTTGTACCGTAACTTCCTGTTGATTGAAAACAACTTTAAATACGTCTAAAATGTCTGTTTATTTTAAATTAGACAGCACAGCTTCCCTGCATTACGCCCCACTAAAATTTTGGAGCCAAGTGCATGAAGTGAAATTAGAGGCCAAAAGAAGTAGACGACAATTGAAATATTAAAAATGTAAAACAAAACAGGATATGCGTATTCTAACAGTGATATTTTAAGACCGACAGGTATTTTTGGCAGTCACTGTCTTTCTAATAAGGACCTTTGATCCACTTGAAGGGGAAACAAAAAATAGGGAATTAAGCTGTGAGCAGTGTTCTTTCGTATGCTTTGGCATTTCCTTTATCGTGAATTTTGCACAGCTAAGCGGATTATATTTTCACCACTATACTCTGTAATGTGAAATCCTCTCCAAAATATAGGAGTTTTTAAGCATTTAAACTTATTCTCGGACTACTTTATTGAAAATATGTTTTAAAACAGATGTAATTCTTATACGTCCGCAGGCGGAAAGTAAGCTCACCTCGTTATAAGTGCCTGCCTTTTTTTACCTTTTTTAGACAAACGTACAGTTTTGCTGCGACCGTTTAATTAAAATTTAATCAAATTCATCCACATGCTTCGCTTACGTGGCCATGCAGTTCCAAATATGTCGTTCACTGAGTCGAATTTTTGATCCTTCAAAGCTGAGAACCAAATTGGTATCACGCTCCTCCTGGAAGGTTTTTAAATGCTCTATGTAGGAAAGTATAGTGCTCTCTAAGCATCAGTCATAATCGGCATCAAATGCCTAGTGACCTGAAATCGAAGGTATACGTATCCTCCATGTTACTTAACACTGTCTTCAGAAACTCAAGAAACTTTAAAGTTGTAGAGGGAAAGTAGTGGAATTTTCAAATGAAGCGGTCTCTTACAATTTTTCGTCAAACGATTTTGAGATTTTATTTAAGGCATTCTTTTGAACTCTCAGATTTTATTCCGACAAAGTGACCAGCAGCTTTGTTGGAAAAAATAAAAAATCCCGCTACCGAATAAAATCGTGACCCTTTGAGCTCTCTGCTACCCTCGCAGTTTAGATCGGTAAGCGACTGCTTAAATGCTTAAGCAAACAAATAAGGATACTTGGGCACATGTTCGTCATCGAAGATCCCGAAACCCCTGACAGGAGGAATAAAATTGTGAGTGGGGGCGTATGAAATATTAGTACATCGTCGACAAATAATCATTAAGGCCTTGGTTGAGGCGCTCACTGATCGTTCCTACGGAACTCACTTGATCTGTTGTGCCTTATGGACTCTTTCTCTCAAGCCCAACCAGCAGCCGCACAGCGGCGCATGATATAGGCGGAATGTTAATACCGACAAGTTCCAAGGGAAACTGCAATGGCCATTTCTGGCTTATTGGTCGTCGTCAGCCTATATCATGCGCCGCATTGCGGTTGTTGGCTCAAGAGAACCCGTAAGGCGCAACGGAACGAGTGAGTTCCGTAAGAGCGATCAGTGAGCGCCCCGTACCGTTGTATATTCCCGATCGAAACCGACAGGGCAACGGGCTCGTGGTCCAGTGGTTAGAGGCGTGGACTTCTAACTAACAGGTCGCGAGTTCGAGCCTCGGGTGGTCCACACTTCGAGGTTGGGTATGACTGACTGACGACGGCTAGTAAGCCAGAAATGGCCATTTCAGTCTCCCTTGTCTTTGTCGGTAAAGCATACTACTTAGTCCTTCAGATGGGGTGTCAGGACCTACTGATGGAAGTCGACCGAGTAAACTGTCGACTTAGGGCGGGCCATTTGGGGATTTTGGTGAAGCAAACCTAGGCTGTAGTCGCAAAACGAAGAACGGTTATTGTTTATAGTATCCCAAAATCCTTTGCATCTTCTGCCGGTTATAGTCGGGCTTCATGCGTAGAAGGGAGACAGAGGGTGCTTCCATCACGTTTAGCCTTCCATAATCGTCTAGTTTGGCGAGGGTGACTTCTGACGAGCGACCTAACACCGCAAAAAACTTAATGACCTGGTACCATTACTGAGGCCAATGTTACGAGTAGGTTGTGAGCTAGTTTCATTGGCTTTTATGCGTCTTTTGGAAAGCTGACTGAGCACTGGTTAAAGCCGGAATTATTGTTCGGGCAAGGTCGCAGTATGCGGCCTCACTCAAGGAGCAAAAACCAGGACATCGTGGCATATTGCATTCTTGCCTTTATTTTATAATTGAAACTTCCGCGCTCTTTTTTGGATGGAATGTTATCCACGTCTTTCGTGAAAAAAACTGGAAAAACTGCTAACAATGCCCTACTTTTGCTTGCCCTGCCATATGTCTTGGTATCCTTAACATTCCTCGGGGACCGGGTTCCCGGTGCGTGTCCTCTTTTGTAAATAGCTGTAGATAAATATAGCTCGAGGACTTAATATGCCACCTCAGCAATTATCCAAATATTTACCTCCTATCGCAATTTACTTTCCGTCCTTTAGCCCCATCCATAAAATTCGCATTACACGATGACCCGGTTATTGTTCTTTGAGTGGGGTCGTACACTGCGTCCTTGCTGTCCTGACCAAATATCAGACGAGAGAGGGCTATGCTGTAGTTTCGAATAACACCTCTTTCTTACCACTAATTTTGCCTATTACTTTCACTTGCCAATAGATCATTAGGCAAGAACAATTTCCGGCAAGAAATAAAGGTTCTGTTTATAAAACAAGTACCGTCAAGATGCTCATTTGCAACAGTTGCAGAACATGTCCTTTTCTGATCATCTTTGGTGAAGACTCTTGCTTTCTTCGGAGCAGAGGTTTCTCTCGCATTTAAAAATGTCCACAGTCTCAACCGATTTTCAACCCTTCCTGTCGTTTAACTTCTACTTAGTGTTTCGAAACTACTAGCCGTGTACTTTTTCAGCAAAAGGGATCACTCATTCCTCCATCGCATTAAGAAACTTCTCTTCAGGGCTGATTAAATTTTGCAATGGAAATGTGGTATGCTTCAAACGTCATAGGGAGAATTAATAAAGGGATCTGTACAAGTTACTTGAATGGGCATTTCGTGATCTTAAGAAATCTCATAAATGCCTACTGTTTAAGCTGAAATTTACCTTTTCCTTAAGGACAATGTATAAAAAGCACTACTTTATAGTAAATATACGGAAGAAAAGATCCGGTGTGCGTGCTCACCATAAAATGCATTTAAATATACAAAAGCCATCGAAAATCAACAGAACAAAATTACACTATTTAGACAGTCACTTTTACCGAGTGTAGTTTGTACAAGCCACCAGAAAAAAAATATTTAAAATTAGCATCCTTACGCGACAGAAATATTTTGGGATTGTGCCGCACGATATTTATTATAACAACGCCACTTTTCTAATTCTTTCCAACCTAAAACGCACTTCAGAATTTCCGTTGACATTTGGCGAGATAGGTCACTTACTGCAGGGAAAGGAATCCCTGACAGTCAAATCACGCTGCCAGACAGGTGGATGCGTTTCAAGGTCACCTGCCCACTGTTGTATTATAAAAGCATAACCAATTTCAGGGGGTAATTTAAACTGCCGAGTCAA